TTTGAGGAGGGCACTTGTTGGGATGAGCACTGGGTGTTGTATGTAGTGATGAATCACTAAACTCTACTCCTGAAACCATTATTACACTATATGTTAACTGACTTGAATTTAAATAAAATTTTAAAAATAAATTGAAAAAAAAAAAGCTGAACTATAAAAAATAAATAAATAAAAGGAAGTATGGCTTTAAATTAGCCTGTATTTCCTAGGAAGGTGATATAACTTTTCTCCTCTTTCCCCATTGTGGAACTTGATTTGGTCTTTGTGAATTTCTTCACTGTTATTACCTTTGTAGTTAAGCACTCTCCAATTGAATCAGAGCAGTCCTCCAAAGTTAAATCATCTTTCCATTGTCTATCTCCTGTCTGTTTAAGACCAGTGGTTGTATTTCTAGTATAGTTGATCTAGAAATTTCTTCTGACTTGGAAGCATTTCTTGACTGCTATGAGAATGTTTAAGAAAAAGTTGTTTAAAAATAAAAATTATTTTTGTGCTGCAGAATGAAGTATTGATTTTGAAAAACAGACTTTTAAGAATGGCATCTATATTGACATGATAAATGATTTAAATATCTTAATTTTTAAGAAATTTTATAACTTAAAAAACATTTAGAAATTATTGGAGACATTTTCAACTATGAAAATATTTTGTTGTAATTTAACTGTATATAAGCCCACTTAGTGAACGGATTTATGAGAGAAATGTTTAAATATCATAAAGTTTTAATTTCAAACACGTCAAATTATTTTTCAGTTCTAAACATGACTTAAGTTTTGATCTCCAGTTTATATTCTAATTCTGTGTTTCCTCATTTTCAGGCTGAAATAGAACTATTCGTGAACAGGCTTGATTCAGTGGAATCTGTTCTTCCTTATGAATACACAGCGTAAGTTTTTTAGCTTGATTTTTATATAAAATTGCATGTAACTCGGGTTGCCTGGTTAGCTCTGTTGAGTGTCAGTCAGTTGAGTGTCCGTTGAGTGTCTAACTCTTGATTTTGGCCCAGGTCATGATCCCAGGGTCATGGGATCGAGCCCAGCATTGGGCTCCATTCTGAGCATGGATCCTGCTTAAGATTCTCGAAAATAAAAAAATAAAATTGTATACGACTTATCAGAATTTTGTACTTTTAGAATTTTATTTTCTCCATAGTTATGGATAAATTTATATGTGCTTTAAAAATGTACAGGGCCGGGGCGCCTGGGTGGCGCAGTCGGTTAAGCGTCCCGCTTGAGTTGAATCGACTTCAGCCAAAGGTCGCGATCTGTGGTCCGTGAGTTGAGCCAGCGATGGGGCTCTGAGCTGATGGCTGGGAGCCTGGAGCCTGTTTACGAGGATTCTGTGTCTCCCTCTCTCTCTGCCCCTCCCGTTCGTACTCTGTGTCTCTTAAAATAAATAAAAAACGTTGAAAAAAAAAATTTAAAAGCAGGGGCCTAAACATTTTTTTTTAAAGGGTATTCTTATTCCAAGGTAGGGGTTAGAAGTGTGAAATGTGATCTTTTCAATAGAAGCACCAACTAAAAAGCAATTGGATTCCTTTTTTATCTTTCGATTGGACAAAAAGCCATTGTTGTGTTTCTTTAAAATTTTTTAATTAGGGGCACCTGGGTAGCTTAGTCACTTAAGTGGTCAGCTTTTTTTTTTTTTTTTTTTTTTTAATGCTTTTAAGAGAGAGAGCAATCCAGAGAATGAGTCGAAGCAGAGAGAGAGAGTGGGAACACAGGAATCAAAAGCAGGTTCAGGCCTCCATACTGTCTAACTTACAGAGTCCGGCGGGGCTCGAACTCAATCTTTATGAAACTGAAGTCTGATGCTCAACCTACAGAACCACCTATGTGCCCCATGAGTGTCCAACTCTTGATTTCAGCTCAGGTCATGATCTTATGGTGAAGGTGAAATTGAGCCCTGAGTTGGGCTTAGTGCTGATATTACTTGAGCCTACTTAGGATTCTTGATCTTCCTCTCCTCTCACTTACCATCCCCCAAATAAACTTAAAAAATAGATTTTTAATTATACCAAATACTCAAAACATTTAAGTTTGTCTTAATTTGTTACCTCCAGAGAAAAGAGTGCATGTGTGCCGTGTGAAGCTGAACGGGGGAGGGGAGGGCAGAGGGAGAAGAAAGAATCCCCAACAGGCTCCCTTACCTGTCAGCTTACTTCTTGGGCTCAATCCCTCAGCAGTGAACTCACCCAGCCTGAGCAAGCAGAGCCCTGAAAACTTAACTGACTGAGCCACTCAGGTGCCCCCAAACTCCTGTAATTTTACAAACAAGAATTTTTTTGTTTTTTAAAATGTTATTGCAGAGAGACACACACAGGAGGCTGAGCAGGAGGAGAGGGACAGAGAGAAGACAGAAGAAGAATCTAGAGCAGGCTCAGGCTCTGAGCTGTCAGCACAGAGCCTGATGGCAAACTCCATCATCAGGTGAGATCATGACCTGAGCTGATGTCAGGCAGCTCAACCAACTGAGCCACCCAGGTGCCCCTTAACAAAATTCTTATGTCCTTCATAATCAATCCCCAAGAAATAATTGCTGTTTTCTGCTCCTCTACATTTTTTTTTCTCTGCGTGTATTCATGTACCTATACACATCTATACATTTTATTTTTAAACAATGGTTTTGCACCTTGTTTTCTCATCTAATCTCAAGTTAATACACAGCCATAGCTACCCCACTTTTTTGAACAGTTTATGCTTTTTTTTGTTTTTTTTTTTTTGTTTTTTTGTTTTTGTTTTTTTTTTAAAACTTGTTTATTTATTTTGAGACAGAGAGAGGGAGCAGAGCATGAATGGGGAGGAGGTCAGAGAGAGAGAGCCTGAATCGGAGAAGCAGGCTCCTGAGCCATCAATGAAACCCGACCGCAGGGGCTTTCGAGCTTTCACAGACGGTGGTATTGATCTGAGAGCTGAGGTGGACGCCCAACTGACTGAACCCACTTATTGCTGTTTTTTAAAGTAAGCTCTCACCCAGTGTGGGGGCTGAACTCATGACCCTGAGATCAAGAGTTGCACTGCCCCACCAACTGGCCAGCCAGGCACCCCTGTTTGTTGTTTATTGTAGAGGTTGTGTAGGTTGTGTATAATTTGTTCCGCTATGTCTGTTTGAACATTTTATTTTAACTTTTTGATATAAAAATTTTTGTATATATAACCTTTATTCATTTTGATCACGATACCCTATTGGTAGCAAAACAGTTCTAAATTTTATCTGGCTTCCCAATTTTTGTTGTATGTAGAGGTTTAAAAGAAAATATGTGCTTACTATAGAAAAAAGCACACACCAAAAAGGTGAACTGTCCTATTAAGTCAGATGCTTCTTCATTGAGAGTACAACATTCATAAATGGATGGACATTTATGTAACTATTGGAGGCAGAGACCTAAATGCTCTTTCAGTTTTTGTTTCTTTTGTTTGTTAAATAAACAACATATTTCCACAATC